CCTCCTCCTCCTCCTCCTCCTCCTCCTCCCCCCCCAGGCTGGGGTCTCCTCCTCCCCCCCCAGGCTGGGGTCTCTTCCTCCTCCTCCCCCCCAGGCTGGGGTCTCCTCCTCCTCCTCCTCCCCCCACCCAGGCTGGGGTCTCCTCCTCCTCCTCCCCCCACCCAGGCTGGGGTCTCCTCCTCCTCCTCCCCCCGGGCTGGGGTCCCCTCCTCTTGTCCCTCCTCCCTCTCTTCCTCCTCTCCCCCGCTGCAGACTCTCCCCACCCACACCCCTTTCTCTGGCTGCTCACCACAGACCACACCCATCCCCACCCCTGATCTATGGAGACCCCACTATATGGGACCCCGCTCTGTGGGACCCCGCCCTATGGGGACCCCACTCTATGGGACCCCGCTCTATGGGGACCCCCGCTCTGTGGGACCCCCACTCTGTGGGGACCCCATTCTATGGGGACCTCGCTCTCTGGGACCCCCGCTCTATGGGGACCCCGCTCTGTGGGGACCCCTGCTCTGTGGGACCCCCGCTCTATGGGGACCCCGCTGTATGGGGACCCCGCTCTGTGGACCCCCGCTCTAGGGGGGCCCCACTCTATGGGGACCCCGATCTGTGGGACCCTGCCCTATGGGAACCCCGCTCTATGGGGACCCCGCTCTATGGGGGCCCCCACTCTATGGGGACCCTGCTCTGAGGACCCCGCTCTGTGGGACCCCATTCTATGGGGGACCCCGCTCTATGGGGGACCCTGCTCTATGGGGACCCCGCTCTATGGGGACCCCGCTCTGTGCCACACCGCTCTATGGGGACCCCGCTCTATGGGGACCCCGCTCTGTGCCACACCGCTCTATGGGGACCCCGCTCTATGGGGACCCCGCTCTGTGCCACACCGCTCTATGGGGACCCTGCTCTATGGGGACCCCCACTCTATGGGGACCCCGCTCTGTGCGACACTGCTCTATGGGGACCTCACTCTGTGCGACACCGCTCTATGGCCCACAGGCGTCTGGGCATTTTCCCGGTCCCTCCCTCCCTGCCCGGTGGCTGAGGTGGAATGGCCCTGGAGAGCCACCGCTGCCCGCCACCCTGAGGGTCCCCATCCCCTCCGCTGCGCTGGCAGCGATCACTGTGTCTCTGGGAAGTGGTCTAGCCTGGAGCAGCGGGTGTGGCACCCTGGCTTATGTGGGTACTCAGGAATCCGGGTCCTGTGACCCCGGGCCTTGTGTGAGGAGAGCTGGCTTGGCCTCCCGCTCGGCTGCTGAGCCTTTCTCTGCCTTGGTTTCCCCCGTCTGTGCCTTGGTTTCCCCTTTCTGTGCCTTGGTTTGCCCCGTCTGTGAATGTGGACAGAGGCCTCTTCTGAGTCGTGGGGAGGGAGAGGGGGCGCACAGGTCGGGTTGGGACCCACAAAGCTCTGCTCCCGTGGAGTCCAGCAGTCTGGGGTCCTGTTTGGTTCCACCGTTGCCTGTTGGATTTAATTTTTAACTCATTCAATAGCTATATTTATGATATTCATTAATTACATTAACTGTATTGATTTACATTCATGATGTCATGTCCTGATACTGCTTTCCATTTGTGGGGCTTTTCCATCCCAGGAAACAGATTCTGTTCTCAGGAAGTCATTGCTCTATATTCCTTTCTTCTCTGTCTTGAGATAAGGTCTAATCTTTCTGTCTCTATGAATTTGTGTATTCTATATATTTCATGTAATACAATTCTATAGCATTTTCCTCCCCTTTTTTTAAATGTAAAAACATTTTATGTACAATTGCAAGGAAAATAATACTCAGACAGCTTGAACATAAAAACAGGTTATAATTCAAAAGTCCAGGGTTATTTTAAACCCTGAAATATTTTCTCTGTAGAAAATAGTATAAATGATAACATTTCCCAATAAGCCCTTTTGAGCCAAATAGTAGCTGAATTATAGATATAAATATTGATTAGATCCCGGGATACAGAAGAGACCTGTCTTCATCTGTTCAGAGAGCTGTGTTTTATTAAGTTGTGTAGGTGAGATTCCTATTCATCTTCCCCTTCACGGTTTGATTTACGGCAGACGTTTTTCTATAGGCTAATCTATAATCTAAAAAGCTCTGCTCCTGTGGAGCCCAGCAGTCTGGGGTCCTGTTTGGTTCCACCGTTGCCTGTTGGATTTATTTTAATTTTTTAAAAATGTTTTTTCATGTGTGGGCATTTTGTGTGCACACAGAGTATGTATATATGTGCGCCTTGTATACAGTACCCGCAGAGGCCATAATGGGCGTCGGGAATCCAGAACTGGAGTCCCCCGGCAGTTGTGAGCCCGGTGTGGGTCCTCCTCAGGGCCAGCCGGTGCGCTAACCACTGAGCTCACCGCTGAACAGCGTCTCTCCAGGCCTTGTTCTGTTTTGTTTGTTTGACTCAGGGTCCCAGGTAGCCCAGGCTGGCCTCAGGCCCTCTGTGCCGCAGAGGATGACCTTCAGCTCCTGATCCTCCCTGCCTCAGCCTTCTGTGACCGCGCCTAGCTACCTTGCTGTGGCTCTGGTGTAAATAAGTCTATGTTTTGGTGAATTACTTCCCATCAGGGCCTCACCCAGGTGTCCACCTGCCTGCTGGGCGTTGGGGGCAGGCGCTGAGTCACCTCCGCCCTGCTTCCTGTTGGGGAACTGGGTTCTCTGCCGTTCGTTCCGGGAGCATTTGCCAGAGGAGGTGTGCTGTACCCGGGTGTGTCTTGGCCAGCCAGTGCCATTGCCCAACCAGCAGGATGCAAAAAAGGCTGTGTTTCCCAAACCCCGCTGACCTAGCGCCTCTGCCCTGTGCTCTGGCCACCCTCCCAGGTACTGGTCACACTCTGAGGGGTCTGACACCTCTGGGTTCCCAGCTTCAGTCTCTGTGAAGTGGCCTGGTTATGGGGAAAGGAATATTCACTCCACAAACTGCAGGAGTTCATTGGTTCACTCCGTCCGCCCTGTGGCTTGTGGGCTGCCTGCTGGACACGGGTGAGGGCGTGAGGGGCATCTGCTTGACCTAGCAGGAAGAAGTGCTCATTGGTCTGGCCTGGCCGCCGTCTGGGAGGTGGCATCTGGACAGAAACCAGAGTCCGGCAGGACCAGGAGAGGCCAAGGCTTGCAGGCTTCACAAGTTTGAATCCGGGGGACAATCCTGTCCCCGGGAGCCCTTGGGGCCCACAGGAGGTGGTGACGTCCCCACGGCCCTTAGAACTGAGCACTGACCCGAGCTGCAGGCCGAGAGCATGGGGGGCTTGCCCTAGCAGGACTGAGGTTCACATCCGTCCTTCTGTCCGAGCGCCGCATCAGTCTGTCCTGTCCGTGCGCCGCCGCGTCAGTCAGTCCCTCCTTCCTGCAGCGGTTTGTTATCAGCCTGCGCCAGCTGCCGGGGTGCGGCTTTAAAGGCCTGGGGGTGCAGCCAGGGCCGAAGTGGCCCAGCCTCAGACCTCAGAGTTGACCTCAGGGGCCGGCAGGAAGTTGGAAGCTGGGCTGGCGGTCCCTCCTCCGGAGGGTGGGCTCACCCTGCTCAGGGGGGACCCAAGCAGGCGGGAGGGCGTCCCCCCCAGCCCCCAGGTCCACGGGGACCCCTGCAGTGAAGCCACTGGTGGCCTGGCGATGGGGTCCCCACCAGAGCTGAAGTTCCAGGCTCCAGCCCTGCAAGGCCCCCTGGATGCATGCGCCCCAGGCTGAGCCTGCCACGCTCTCTGCTCTCTGTGCGGTCCTCCCGGCTGGTCCTCCCACCCCGCCTGTCTCCCCGTGGCTCTGGCCCTGCCCTGCTGAGTAGAGCCAAGGCTGCTGAGTGCCAGGCTAATCCCTTCGCAGGATTAGCACCGTCTTCAAGAGTTAGCTCTGGGGGGGGGGGGGGCGTCATGGCCCCTGGAGACCCTGCGGCTCTTTCTGGTTTACAGGCCGAGGAGGAGAGTGTCCACTTCCAGGGGGAAGGTGGAAGGGGCCACCTCTGCTCTGGGTGCCGAGGGTTCGGGCCTTGCCTTCTCGGAGCCTCAGTTTACCCCTCTTGCGTAATAATAACCCGTGTCCTGGATTCCATGGGCCCCGGGTCCCACGCACAGGGGCCTGGGGTGGGAGGGGACACGGAGCAGGCCCGCCTGGGCCCTGATGCCCCCTCCCCCGGCCCGCAGGCCCCTCCCCGGCTGCCTGCCCACGCTCGGCGGCTCACAGGTGAAGAGGGTCTCGGCCTCCAGGCGCAAGCAACATTTTATCAACCAGGCGGTGCGGAACTCGGACCTGGTGCCCAAGGCCAAGGGACGGAAGAGTCTGCAGCGCCTGGAGAACAGTAAGCGGGGAGCGGGGGTGTGGGTCGGCCTGAGGCTTCCCTTGCCGGGCATCGCCCACTGGCCAGGCATTAGAACAAGGGCTTCAGAGGGTTGCCTAGGAGTTCGGTAAGGCAAGGAGAGCAAGATGGGGTGCTGGAGACCGGCTGGGTAAAACAGGAAACAGCAGAACTTCCTGGGACAGTGGGAGTGAGTGGGGACCCCAGACCCCGCCTCAGCCCACGGACCTTGGTTCCGTTCAGCCCGGTACCTCCTCACACTGCTGGAGACGGCTGGGGGTCCGCCGGGCCCGGAAGACGGGGACGGGACTCCGCCCGCGGCACCTGGCATCTTCGCAGAGGCCTGCAGCAATGCCACCTACGTGGAGGTGAGACCTGGGGTGTGCCCGCCCCTCCCGGGGTCGCCCGCCCCTCCCCGGGGTCGCCCGGCCCTCCCCGGGGTCGCCCGCCCCTCCCCGGGGTCCCTGCCCCTCCCTGGGGTCATCTGCTCCTCCCTGGGGTCGCCCGCCCCTCCGTGAGGTCGCGTGCCCCTCCCTGGGGTCCCCTGCCCCTTCCTGGGGTCGCCCGCCCCTCCGTGAGGTCGCGTGCCCCTCCCTGGGGTCCCCTGCCCCTCCCTGGGGTCGCCCGCCCCTCCCCGGGGTCGCCCGCCCCTCCCCGGGGTCGTCCGCCCCTCCCTGGGGTCATCTGCCTCTCCCCGGGGTCGCCCGCCCCTCCCCGGGGTCGCCCGCCCCTCCCCGGGGTCGTCCGCCCCCTTGGACCAGGGGACCCGTCTGGAGACTGTGTGGTGCGCATGAGCGCGCGTCGCTGGTGGTGCGCCCCACCCTGGCCTCCCCGGAGTTAGTGGCCGTGCCTGCTGAGCTCTTGTGCATCCCTTGACACCCCAGCTCCAGAATCCGCCTCGGGCCCCACTCGTGTGGGACATGCGCAGATGGGCTCCCGTGTGCCCGGGGCCCTGTGTGTGCGCGTTTGTCAAGGCGGAAGCAGACCCCGGCCTCAGGGCTGGCCTGCGTCCCTGTCTTCCAGGTCTGGAATGATTTCATGAACCGCTCAGGAGAGGAGCAAGAGCGAGTGCTCCGCTACCTGGAGGATGAGGGTCAGGGCAAGCGGAGGCGCGCGCCTGGCCGTGGGGAGGACCGGCGGAGAGGTGGGG